TCTGTAGTATGTTGTGGTGTATCCATAGTTCATCCACGGTTACGAAAAGGCGTAAAAATTTGTTCAGATTGCACCCATAGTACCGAAAGCCCTTTAATGTCTAAATATTCAGGGAAAAGGTGATGCTCCCGCGCAGTTGAGATACCTGCCATCTCAGCAAGCGCATGGACTTTTATTATCTGATCGTCCAGTATCATTTCATGGATTTTTTCTACGATTTCTGACTTGACGGCCTCTATTGGGCGACCTAAACGTTCGCCGTCACTTGTACTGGCACGATCACAACTGAACTAATTTAGCCACTACTTACCCATTGAAACTTGATGGTGCAGAATCCCCATGACATGACTGTACGACTGTAAAACACAAACTAAATGACGCAGCATGCTTAAAATTTGACAGTGATCTATTAACAGGTGGCAGTTTACAGATGCGATATTACATTTACAGTTACTTGCAGAGAATTCAAAAAGTCACTGGCATGTCAAAATGACTTCGTAGCTCGAAAAAAAAAAATCAAAAATCAAAAAAAAAATTTTGTAGGTATGAAAAGTAGGCTAGTGCTTATTTAAATTATGCCAGTAGCTGCACTGTCTGGGTGCTGACACTATGTAAACGGGGCATTAGAGTTTATGTATAGGTTCTTCGCATTGGACAAGACCAAATAATAATAAAAAAATATAGCAGGTATAATTTGAAAATGTTATCCAGAGGATCGAGTTATTATAAGAACCTTTTTTGAATTCTTACTTTGCAAATAGGGGCAATGAAATAAGTTTTACGCAAAAAGTCGCATACTTAGCTAAAAAAAAAATTGCATTATGACATTATGCCAGCAAACGAGCTATTTACTTTTGTGTGCTTCACAATTTTTTCGCTCGTGAGCAATATCTTCTGTCCTTTGAACTTAAGCTCGGAACACTTTGACGACAGCAAGCGACAAGCAGCATCTGTCAAATTTTAAATACACACGTTCTTACGGACACAATTATTTTGACGACAGCACGACATCTTGGCTGCAGGACTGCAATTGTCGACGTCGCCAAATTAAATCTATTTCTAATTTTGCCGGCGACAATGAGTAGATGTAGTGCTGCAAAATTAAATTGTCGCAAAATTAATCACATATTCTTGATTGTTCATGTTTTTCTTATTTATTTAAATAAAAATACACAATTTGTGAAATAAATATACCAAAATGTCAAACTTTAAAATCGGCTGTTTGCTATGTCGCTGAGGTCTTCAAAATGTTTAAGAAGCTGGCTTCAAGGCGACATTTGTCGACAAAATGATGTCGCTGTCGTTACGTCGTGAAGTTGCAGTCGTCAAAGTGTTCCGAGCTTTATTCGCTTCACCAAATAACTGCAACAGGTTATTGGCAAAATCCGTTAGATAAAACATATTACTGAACCGAAACGTAATCGTAAACTGGCCACTACATATCAAACACTTAGGTGGATGGCAACTAATGCAGAGCAAAAATTATTAAATATAAAACCAAAGCACAGTAATCTGTTGTGTTTTACAAAACTTCAGTGTTTTTAATAAAACTAACAAAGTCGGCTGCAATCGAAAATAACTGAAAAAATTTCAACAAACTCACCACTTACTAATCACTTACATCACATCACTTGCCTACTTATAAACCAACAGCTGTTAGGGAAATTTTCAAATTACTTAATGATTGACAGCGACAGCAATAAATGTTGAATGTAAAGCTCTTGGGTAATGGCAAACGTTAATATCTAAAAAAAGCAATAATACAAAAAAAAATAATAATAATAATGGAAAAAATAAAATAATGGAAAAATTAAAATTAGAACAAAAATATATACATACTTAAATATTTTAAATATAATTAGCATATACTATGTATTTATTATATACCAAAGTGAATTACAATTGATCAACAGAAACTGCAAACACACATAAAACTATATAGAGAAAATAAATTTACGAATGGAGTGTAGGTTTTGGACACAACCATTACGAAAGTGTAAAGCTAGTAATTTTACTTTTTGGAAAAACAAATTGCTGTCAGAAAGCGTCATCAAATGCAGAACTTATACTTTTGCCAAAATTCGTACAGGCAAAGCATCTATGTATACATACATATATAAGTATGAGCAATTATATACATATATATGTAGGAGTTGCAGCAAATAAGCCGTTAGCCAACCCACACACGCACACGACACTGGGCGATGAAGCCCAAAAACTTCATATTATTAGCAAAAAAAATATATATATATTAAACAAATAAATTTTTGAATGTATAATACTATAGCAAAAGAAAGAATGAATGGGAATCATTAAACAGCCAAGTCACAAAAAAGCAATGGATTTTCAAAAACTCACACACACAGTTTCTAACTTAAACTAACAGGTTAAAATTCAGCTCCTCAACTTAAGAAATTGCCTTCTCAAATCTATCTGTGTTATAATTTTTTGTTAAGCACACTTTCATGCGCTAACAATTGAAGTGAGCTTTTAAATTCAAATTTAATTCACACTTCTTTCTAATTTCGCGCTAAAACCGCTTGTCGGCTTTTTCTTCCGAAACCAAAATTCTTCGCCAATTGCATCTCTACGTTGCGACAACAATGCGTTAAAAATGAAATTTACTTTTTGGCGGATGCGGAAGGAACAGGCTACAAAATGTGTAAAATATACATACGTAAACTAGAAATAATTAAGCGAAAATATAAAACTTTAAAATTGTATGAAAGAAAAGCATAGTTTTCCAAACACTCACACACACACATACATACTCGCCCACATAACCACACAAAACCTATAGTTAAATTATAAATCAAAACTTGTAAGTGTAACTCCAAAAAAAATGCATTACAATTTACAATCGCCTTGCGAATTGTTAAAAAAAAAATGTTGTAAAAGCAAGAAAAAACTACGAAATTTAAAATTAAAAAATAGCGCGCAAGTATTAGCGCTGGCAACAACCCGCCGGCAAAAGAAGGACGCGCATGCGCAATGAGCACACGTGTTAAATAATTAAATAAAGTATAACAAATTTTTTGGTGAAAAAATACTCATTATTGTTAAACGGTTTAAATACAAAATATTTAAAAAAAAATCATAAAAAAGGAAAGAAATTGAATAGCAAAATAAATACAATAATAATTATTAAAAGTAAATAAAAATAAAATTAAAAAGTAAAAAGTAAAAGGTATGTACATGCATATATATTTCAAAAGCAAAAAAGGGTCAGCAAATTCAAAAAAAAAATTTAATATTATTACTTTTCTCTCTTTAGTAAGTTTAGTTAATTGATTATTAAAATAAAATTAACTGTTAGAGACAAAACTGAAAAACAAAAAAATATATAAATCTTAAAATCCAGAAAAAGGCAAAACAACACTGTTGTTTAACTAAGGTAAAATATGTATAAAAATAATTATTTAATAAAAAACCATAGTTTCATTATTTGTTGTGATTATTATTATTTTTTTTTTTGAGTAATTGATTGGATAAATGATTTAAATATTTATTGAGGAACTATAAAAAAAAAACTAATAAATAAATGCAAAAAAAAACAAAAAAACATGTATTTTTTTCGTTTGGCATAACGAGTAGGTACAACTTACATATCCCTAATGAATCCTTAAAGCGCTTTGGTAGTCGAATTTCTTACCACTAATCTTTCCACTTAACAAGTTAGCCTCTGTCTAGCCAGAGCTGAACAGTCACAAAGAATGTGTTCGGAATTTTACTCGTTCTCAAGGCAGAGCTGTGTGCGGAAACGTAGTTGGTTGTGGCGCGTTAGTTATCCGGATAGTAGCCTGATGTCATTTCTGTTTAATTGAAAAATATCCAATCTATTGAAAGCGTAGCCAAAGAGCTTGGCCTGTCTATAGCCACCCACCGCCGCATAGTACTTACTACGTTCAGAGCGTTCCCACTCCAAAAATTATGGCTCCCGAAGAGGACCAACTACAACCGCAGAATGGTTCCGGTCACAAGGCGCCAACTCGACAGCGACCTCGTTTGCCTTCGATCTCGTACTGGCCCGGCACCCAGCACAGAGGTAACTTATTTTTTGCTGCCAAAATTTTTAGCCTGTTATAGCAGTATTTAACAATTATGCATTCCATCATCTTGTTTCAGAGGGTCCGATGGCTGCTTGGCTATCTGAAAAGATAACTAAAAAACGCCCTTCAAACCGTTTTCCCAAGTGTTAAAACTTCAGCTTGGATCACCGCGGGAATTGCTGCTCGTTTTGTGCCGGGTCCATAGTCACTTGCAGCTGCTCTGTCACCCATCCTCGAACCGCCCGTGTACCAATCTCCATATCTGGGATCAAAGGCGCGGAGTCCGTTTGCTCCATCTTATCGATCTTATATTTTCACTTGGAACTTTCAACCATAGCAGATATTTTGGGTTATCGAATCAAAACATGCCGACTGGAAGTCGGGAATACGCCCAAAATATCGAGCATCTCCGACTTAGTAAATAATTAAAATTTTTTTCGTTTTCCAATAAATCATTTTCACTCATTTAAACAGTAAATACAGGACGATTTTAAGTTCGAAGGTCATTTAGAGGTTGAAAAAGGCACTTCCAAGAAAAAAGTTTCAAAGAAAAGTTAGGTATTTATATACTCAAAATCTGAATTAGTAGCAAAAATATGTATGTCTAAATAAAAAAAGAAAAATGGGCTTCCGGTAAGTTTAACGCACTTCCGGTCGAAACTGACAGTCGGTAATAATACCAAAGATAGAGCAACCCTTAATTGGTACTTCATATTTTTGCGTTTTTCAGTTTAACAATAACAAAAAATATTTTTCTCTGTATTTTTTCTATGTATATCTAATGTGTTTTTTGTGTGATTAAGAAAAATATTTATTTTACATATTGTATTGATTCAGGCGAATATACTATACATAATTCTGCATATCGGTCCAACTTCAAAAAAATATTCCAATACAGATTGTTTGCATTTTTATTACTAATTTCCAAATGTTTCACTTTCCTATCGGCAGGAGGATAGCTTATCAGTTTGGAATCGCACTGCCACGGATCACACAAGCACGACACGTATCCGGGATACGCTACGTAGGATATTAAATATACCTCTAACAACGGCAATGGAGTATAAGATACACTGTGATAGCCTTAAATATGTAGCAATGTAAGTATTTAAAGATTTCTACGACATAGTTTATTGGTGTTGATTGATTTATGCGACAGGGTAAGTAGGTGATGTACTTTTTTGGTATGAATTTCCATCGCATTAATTAATAATAATAGATTGGCGCTTACACATATGTTAGTGTTTGGCCGAACTTCTCTTCCGATTTGTGGCGTGCGCCTTTATTTGCACACAAAGCGGAGGACCTATAGTTTGCGCCGACTCCGAACGCATTTACATTTTAAAATTTGGTTGGAACTGAACAGGTTTCGGCGTTGCGCACTGGTCTCAATTTTTGCCGTGTTTTAATTTTCTTGCCTTTAAAAAAGGGTGATGAAATTCTTTATCAATCGTTGGGGTATTTGAAGCTTTTTTTATTTCACAATAAAGTGGCCTTTTTTGTAATGAAAAAATATTTTTTTTTTTCTGAAAAGTACAGTTATTTATAAGTTGCCTTTTCTAAATCCTCGTTTTGAGTCTGAAACGGCGCGGAGAGGTCCTACTTAATTTGAACACATATGCATATTTTGTTTCTTCTCCAGAATTTGACGAGCTGTGAAAATTTAGTCAATAGTGAACCCACCTATAGTTACAGCCACACTTATAAGGTCCAATCAGTTTGTTCGTGTAAAGCTTCAGTCTTCCACACATAATCGTCGACAGGACCTTTTAAACAATATTTCTTGCTGCCTTATTTTCTGATAGAATTTTCGAGCCACATTCATGCCTGCCAGCATCTCAAGCTCTTTGGACGCACACCTTTCGGCCCTTCTTTTCTTCCCACGCTCAAGAACGCTCGAACTTATCTGCCGTCTATCACAACAAAATATTATGACATTTGAAAAATTCAGAATCCTTAAAATCTGAAAAAGCGTTTGTAAGCCTTAAGCTGATGTCACATAAAACTTTTGCTTCGCTTTACGTGACAGATTCGCTTTGACAGATAAGATGAATTGTATGAAAATGCACAAAGCATGCCACATAAATCGTTGCCCATCTTTTTGCGCGCTTTGACAATCAGCCGGTTTAATATTTATTTTGTTTCGTCCAAATTCGGGTTTTCATGCAGAAACATAAAACTTAATTACATTGCTGATAATTTTAAATCAAAATAATTAAAATCCACAGCAACTTTGATGAGTAAACAAGCGGTACAACATTGTTTTTTTGGCGTTCATTGTGGCATACCTTTTGCGTCTGGCGCTTTGCTGGCAAAGTTATAAATGTCACGCAAAGCTACAAAGTTTTATCTGGCATCAGCTTTAGTTATGAAAAAATGTTTATAAATTTATTAATACATTCTAAAACTACAGATCTAGCTCTTGAATTTATTTAAATTTTCAAAAAGTCTTAGAAAAAGTACTGCAACAAAATATGTTGACAATTATTTTTTGTTTTAAATCACGTTTGAATTAATAAAAACTCCATATTTAAGCAAAGTACACTATTCCAATTATCGCCATTCCTTCCTTTTATCGCTGATAAAAAAAAAAAGATATAACGAACTAGTCTATAGCCAAAGATATCTAACGTAATAAAAATCGGCGGATATTTTGCGCTTTTTATAATTAATAGTGAAATTTTCAAGATCACGCGTGTATGTCTAAGAACATGTACGATACACGATAAATAATAAAAATTAAAAAAATACTAAAAAATAAAAATAATCTAATTGCCGAAGACTAAGATTACCGTGGAACTAATGAAAACTTTTTTGTGGTTTTGAAGTTGTTGAGTTTTTTCTTCCGTTAATTAAATATTTGAAAATGAAAAAAATTTAAAAATTAAGAAAAAGTGGGGTTTTGACCACTTTGGCATAAAAGCCACCACTGAAAATTTGTCAATTAAATTGGTATATTCGTTTCTTTAAATAATATGAATTAAATAATAAACTATATACATGCTCCACAGCATGCTTCAATAATTATAAATCTTTATATATCTGGCAACCCTGTTTTTATAATTTTTCCCCAGAACTTTTTACAGAAAACACCAAGTAGAATGGGAGAAAATAGAACAAATCCGTAGAATTGATAAAAGCTGTTAAAATTTCGAAAAATCCTAAATACGTGTCTTCTCCGATGTTTTATAATGTTTGGACACCCGGTACTTTTCGATACCTCGGATAATACGCTATACCATAAATATATTTTGTTCTAATTTTTTTACGTTTAAACAGTTTAGCAACAATTTTGGCCACTTTTTCAGTCTTCTGACCCACTGTGCAGCAGGACATTACAGTCGCCATGTGCGATTTTAACATCGTGGCGAGGGCAACGCTGATATGCTTCTCCTAGGTGCTCATAGAATCGCTCCTTACTCTTATCGTCCTTGTCCTCTCGAAAGTTTTTTCTTACAATCTAAAAAGAACATACTCCTCCATTTTCGCAAGAACTACATATTTATGTACAATAGGCTTGTTTTTTTGTTTGCACGCATACGTATCTGCACTAAAAATTTGTTTGGAACTGTAAGCGAAAAACTGTATGGGCGCTTATGAAAAGTTGTCGATAAAATTAAAATTACTTGTTTTTAAATTTAATTTTCGATGGTTGTTTCTTTTCACGTTAAGCGTATATGTTTTAATATGCGTGTAAAAAAAACGCGACTGCTATATCAGTAGCCGTTTTATCAATCTTAAAATCTAAACTCGTTACACACATTTATTTTACCAGGATGTTGGAAATATTTGAAACCAGAACGAAATGAATAAAATCAGAACACAACCACGCCCACTTTTCTTTTCGCGGTTATTTTCAGAAATGCAAATAGTTCAGTAGCAGCTACCTTGGGTATATAAGTTTGGATCCACTGGACCCAAATTTTTTGTTTCTTTTTAAGACAAAAGCCTTTCGTAAGACAATTGTCATTTCTGGCCACTATCCTGAAAACCCTTTTCCGTCTTTCGAAAGACTAATTAAAAGATCTGCTAACAAGGAGATGTTAGTGTTATTCTTTGTTTTTTAGCAATAATTTTTCTACAAAATTTTATGAAATTAAAAATATATATATTTTTCTCGTTAAAATAATAAAAATTAACAATTAACGATAAATTACATTTAAAAAAAAAAACAAAAAGAAAAAATTAATGAAATAGGTTTCTAAAAATTAAATAATATTAAAAGCAATAAGTTTTTAAGAAAAAAAAAAACTAAACCGACTTCAATTCTCATATAAAAATTTAAGATTATCGTTAATTTTTTCACGATCCAATTATCGGATCTAAACAAAATTAGTATGGGGTACCACCTTTCCGATGAAAAAAGAGTCATCGAAGTTAAAAAAGTTTCTAAAAACAGGATGAAACTAAAAAAAAATTTTTTTTTTTTGAATATCTGTATAACTTAAAAGTTTAAAGAAAATTCATTTAAAAAGATAAAATTAAGTTAAAAGAAAAATGTTAAGCTTCTAAAAGTAAATGAAATTAAAAAATATATTTATCTTTTTAAAACAATAAAATCTTAAAATTTAAGGAAAATCAAATTGAAAAAGAAAAAATATTCAATTAAAAGCGGAAAAAAGTAAAAAAAGTTCCTAAAACTAAAATGAAAATAGAAAAAGTGAATTTTAAATTAAAAAAGTTCTTAAATGTTAAAAGAAATAAAAAAAAAATTATTGTAAAAAGAAAAAAGAAATGCTTCCAAAAAGTAAATTAAATTTAAAAAAAAGTTTTCTTTTTAAAACAATGAAATCTAAAAGCTTACTTAAAAAAACAAAATGAGTTTCTAAAAATTAATTTAAATGAAAAGTATATACATAAATATTTTTGTAACACTACAATCTTATAATAAAAAAAAACTTTATTGAAAAAGGAAATAATAAATTAAAAAAAAATCATCTGCCCGAGAACTCGAATCTCGAATCTTCTATTGACACAGCGCGAATAAAGTGATATACGGCTCCATTTTGGAACATGCTTGTCAGAAGAGCTTTTCACCCTAAAAGCTGGCAAGAGAGCTTGTTTTGTAAGACTTTCGTGCCAGAACAAAGAGAATCGTTCCATTATGTTGTCTACGGTATTTCAAATGTCTTACAAAAGATTTTGGACTATCTTAGCCGGAATGGCTTGTTAATGTTGTTAAGCTTTTCTGAATGGGTATTTTTTTCTTATTTTTACCCATAAAATTCTTATTAAATTGTAAATTAATGATTTTCATTTTTTTATTATTTTTTCTTTACAGTAATAAAGGCACTCTGAAAAGCTGAAATTCAGTAAATACATTCAACTCAACAAAAATAAAAACAATCGAAAACGACGACACTATGCGCTACGCGAACACCAACATTAGTAGCAGCAGCAACAATGGCAACATCAATGGTAACAGCAGCAGCAGCTGCAGTAGCAATAACACCAATACAAACAGCAATAAATACAACAACACTAAAGACAACCACAACTGCAAAAACTATTTCCACAACATTACTACCGACATCGCAAAAACTTAAAACATCAGATTAAACTAAAACAAAAAAAAACTTTAATTATTACATAATCTATCCTCTGACCATTTGTTCATCAAACAATAGAAGCAAACAAACGCACATACTGGAAGCCGGCAACAATAAATATAGTGCAACTATGTTTGTTAAAAGTGCTGAAATTTTTGTTTTCAAGCTGAATGCTAATACAATGCACTAAGAGGAAATAATGTTTGGCATCATTTGAACTAAAAGCTTCTCTTAAACGCGACAACCTCAAGTTAAGCATCGACCTCAAGCAAATAGAAAATATATATTTAAAAAGAAAAAAACGTTATTCAAATAATACCATTAGTGCTTGCATACGCGAAACATCATCTAAAAATGCTGTTGCCTCATAATGTTGCATTATTTCGACATGATTATTACGTAAAAAATATACAGTCATCTGTGCGATACACTAAATCGTTTAAATTGTTTTTGTTTTATACCGATTTGCAAACTACATTCATATTCTCAATGAATTTCTGTTTTTATAACAATTTTAATAAAAAAAAAAAAAACGTTGGTGCCCACCTCCAAACAAATACTTAGTAAAGAAAAGTAAACATTTTTACTAGAAATATCGACCAACTTATTGAAGTTACATAGTATTTGCTATCAAAAGCAAACCCACAAACAAAAATACATACCTACAATACAAATAAATACATACTCAATCAACACAAAAAGAGTACAGCAAAATTAAATATTGTAGAGTGTTTATTGAGAATATTCCTCACGCAAAACAGAATATCTAAAGAACGGAGGATGAAGAGTTGCAAAAAAAAATTTAATAAAAAGTTATTAAAGTTGCAAAAATGAAAAAAAAAAAAATTAGTTGTGTATTTTTTATGAATTCAAAAAGCCATTGTTAATTTTTTTTTTTAATAAACCGTTTTTTTTGTGCGTTTGGTTGATCACTTTTTCGCATTAGTGCCAACTATCGTTTGTTGGCCTGTACCGAGAACAGAAGACCTCGGCTATGTCTTTCTTTCTTTGGGGTTCTGCTAAGGCCTTCTGCGCAGTGTGACCAGCTTAGTTTTTTTGAGGCTAAATTTAGCACTTACATTTTTGTTCTAGCCTAGAAATTTTAGGCCTGGCTTCGTGTCTTTTTAATGCTAGTAAGTAATTTTCATCTGTTAATTATTAATTTTTGGAAATTCGAACAGCCAAGCTAAAAGATTAATTGAATTGCAATGGTAAATTCTTACAGCAAAACCAGTGCAACTATGTTACTTCTATCACAAAACCAGTCGACTAAATGAGGAGCTCTTCTTAAGGCTTTCGACCGCGATGTTGCCTGTGGGCTACTCCTCATGTTTACGGTCCTACCACCCGTGTTTATTTGTTTTTAGTTGATCAAACGTAATGATAGCTGGAATCAAATGTGTCTGCATGAAGAAGGTTCAATAAGTAACTCATTTGTAAAACATTTAGCAGAGATATTTGCAAGAAACTTTATCAACATTGGCGAAAAATTCTGTTTTTGGCTCTGGAAGATGTTTAAAAAAAAAAATTCTTAGTAATTATGCCAAAAATGATAAAACTGTGAACGAAATAGCATTAGGGAAATCATTATCTTCATCTTCTGGAATACTGTTTTGAATTTTTCTCAAATTCCACATAAAATTTCCGATTTCATAGCGTCCAAAGTAATGGGCGTGGAGCTTAGAATTTTGCCCAGGTACTTCAGGAATGAAAGTAACAAGATTAGAAGAATCATGTATTGTGGAATTAAAAGAATCGGTTAAATACCAAAGGGCAAGCAATTACCAAGGGCAGCATTGTAAATGGTATGCAGTTCAAAAGAGCTTCTTTAAATGAACCGAACCGATTTAGACGTAAAACTAAAGTCCCTAGGTGACTGAAAAAATGCGGGATCGAAACACTTTTAATAATATAATAACACTTCACTTCAGACCTTGCCTTTGGAAGCTTTAACTTCAGCTTTAGCTCTAACTTTTTCTAAAATTTTTTAACCCAATTTAATTTTCCCTGATAGTCTGGTCACACTGCTTCCAGACTTGGTCCTTCCATTGTATTCTCACATTCTTTAGTTATCCTCCCATGGGCACCAAGTCGAACAGGCATAATCAAAGTGTAATTTTTGTTGGTCGAGAGAAGGCTCTGCTTTTTCAATTACTTGCCAAGCGCCAAAAAATAAGTTCCGCTTGATCTCCATTGCTGTTGTTAATCCAGTGGATATGCACAGCGAAATCCATGGAAACATTTAGAGGAGGTGAGACATAAACTGGGTCTAGAGGTCGACAGGACCCAAATTTCGAGTGTAACCCTTCCTTAAATACTCGCCGGTACTTTTAGCCGCATCATTTCCACATCTGTCTTGCTGTAGTAAACTAGGACGCTACAGTGCAGAGCATTGGGTTCAGCGACGCTCATTGAACTGACTTACAAACCTGTCGAAACGCCGCTTTCCAAACTGCCACGAGATCTTTCCCAATGTCGTGTCAGTATCATCACGTTGAGGCAGACAAAGCATGGCATAACAGACAGAACGCTAGCACCACGTCACGAAAGCAGGCATCTTATTCAACTAGGCATAAGCACAATCCATATCTGCAAGGTAGTAGCTCACTACATCGAGAAGCATTCGAAACTGCCATCCCCACTGACGCCAAAACTTCGTGTAAGGAGGTCCATTCTCTAATCGGGTTCTCAAGATAAATGCGAACTACCCTAGCGCCATTGTGGTCAGGGGAGTGCTGTCGAGTATATTTCTACAGAAACAAAATTGATATAGAGATAGCACTGGTATATATCAAGCACTTTCTCACCACAGTATACAAATTGTGCTAGGCGATTTCAATGTTAGGTTGGGAAATGAAGGCGTTTCTGGTACCAGCGTAGGAAAATTCAGCCTTCACGGCGAAAAATGCAGGTATGGCGTACTAAGTTCGGGTATAAAATGGTCTATGAAGCATCTTGGCTGTCTACAGATGCTGCTACGATATACGGAACACACGCAGCTAATGTTGTGAACGATCAGACGACCAAAAATGATGCCCATACGCCTCTTTGCAGTAAAGCTCAACGTTCAAAAGTTGCATTAACAAATAATTTTTAACCAAAAAAATGCAACCGACTGGGGGCTACTATGTAATACGATACGAAAGGGCAATGCGATGCGATAGGCAAATACATCATAATTAATACGTATCGCATCGCATTTTTCTTTCGCATCGAATTACAGAGTAACCCCCCTACCCCACCCCCAGGTATTCACCACACGTCAAATATTGCAAGAGGCGTGCAAGAATAAGTTCAACACACCATATGTTTGTCGATTTCAAAGCCGCTTTCACGATATCTGAATTTGGTATCCCCGAGAAACAAATAATAATAATAACAGATTGGCGCTTACACATACATATGTTGTCACACAAAGCGGAGGGACCTACAGTTTAACACCGACTCCGAACGGCGATTGTATTTTTATGAGAAGATGTTTTTCATGGCAGCAAAACACTCGGAGGTTTGCCATTGCCTGCCGAGGGATGACCGCTGTTAAGAAAAAACCTTTTTTCTACATTTTTTTGCGATGTTGCTTTAACCAGGGTTTGAACCCAGGTGCAGCGGAGCGGCCGAGAAACTAATACGGCTGTGTAAAATAACGTTGAGCAATACCACCAGCTCCGTCAGAGTTGGGAAGGTTCGCTCCGAGCCGTTTGAGAAGTGTTTTGCGTCCACATGCCGGAAATACATTAAGGGTATTCACTTAAACTCGTCTTAAAGTGTGTAGAACTCGTAATTTTACGAGGCTGTTACGGGAAGGCTCCTTTTTGCAAATGTATAAATAGGTGCGCAAAGTGACTGTCTGAAAAGTTTACCATGGCTTTGTGTGTAATTTTTTGTTACGTAGTATTTTTCATAATAGCCCGTCAGCTCGAACGAAAGTTAAAATATAATTAAATGAAAAAGAAAATTTTACGAGTTTAAGGGAATACCCCTATTAAGTACATCAGATCGGAGTTGTGCTAGTGTTGTGCGGGTCTCCCGTGACAGTTGAGGTTCTCCCGGCATAGCACCATCAACTCAGTACTACTCAAGCTCAACCAGGGGGGAGTAAAAATATTGGCCTACGCTGACGATTTAGTGATTTTATTAAGCAGTTTGTCTATCTGTGGTGAATAACACCGTGCAGAGAATGCAGAATTAATGCTATTTACGGTCAGGAATAAGGTTCCTAGCTTTGTATTACCAAAGCTGAATGGACAAAACCTATGATTATCTAAACAAGCGAAGTATCTGGAGTCATACTGGATCCTAAGCTTAGCTGGAAAATAAATATTGAAGAGTAAGGAAAGAGAGCATTGCCTATTGCTCCTGTAAGCGGCTTTCTGGGGTCTCAATCCAAAAGAGGTACTCTGGATATACACAGCGGTTGTACGTCCGATCTTATGCTACGGTTCCCTGGTACGGTAGACTGCCTTAAAAACAAGTGGAATCTTGTAAATCTAGGCAGAGTTCAGAGGGAAGCATGCATCGGGACCACGCGTGCAATGAGGACTTGCCCTACAGGCGCCATCAATGTTATTACAAACCTATTGCCACCTAAGATGAGACTGGCTACCAATTACATACGACCTGATTTAGTTTCACAGACCTTTCGGGACTAATCTTCCGTCGAGAATCGACTGAGACGGGGAACTTGATATCCCTGCCTGGATACGTCACCTTTGCAGCTATGACTCCAAAATGGACGCGGAGTTGGACCAGGCGTTTATTCTGAATCCCTGGGATTAAGAAGATCAGTTCATCTGCCCTATTTTTCAAGTATTTTTCGGGTAGAAGTGTTCGCCGTCTCTTAGAACGTAGTGGTTTACGTCACGGCGATCGTATAGCCATTTTCGCAGACAGCCAGGCGGCGCTAATCAAAGAGTGTAGGAATCTTTTATACACAGTAAGTATTCAGCTTGAGCTAGATTTTTTTGGGGTCACTGGTCATCGCAACATTCCCGTAAACGAAGCTGCAGCCAGAAAGGGTTTCACATTGATCTCGATCGAGGATCGTATCTCACCCCCACTTGGAACCTTATATAGAGACATCTTCCTCCACAATCTTCAGAAATCGGATCCGGTTAGCACCCACGTCTACAACGACTTCGGTTGAATCTGCAGAGACGAAAATGAGTAGGAACAGTATAGTACCTTCTTTGCAAATGTCCAGCACTAATTACTAGCAAAAATACCATGCTAGGAGCATATTAGTTCAAAACGTGACGCGAACTTTCTGATATATGTATGCCTCTACAACATACTCAACTTTATCAACCACGCCGGTTGGTTCTAACATATGCAGTCGAGATATATGTTAACGAAACGGCACTCAGCTTCTACTTGGGCGTAAGAGTTTTAGGTTCTGCCTCGTCAACAAATCTTGTTCTTGTTGTAGCGGCTACTCAACCCTGCTTATTGGCAAGCTCAACCAACGGGAGACCCGGGAAGCGTGCCACGTCAGCTGGGTCTGTCCATAAGGACCGAGATGTTAGCTAAGAGATGTCTCGAGTCGGGAGTATCTCTCCGCATGCCGG